ATTGTTTTTGATTTGATAACTTTGAACTAAACAGATTTTCTATTAGCTTCAGATCTTGATCAAAGTTAGGCACCCAGTTCATAGGAGTGCTTATATTGATTTTCTGACATCTTGTTTTCTGTAAAGATTTTATTGGTAGGTTTGCAAATGTGTATCAGACTGTGCAATCTCTCCATGAGTTGGTTTTGAAACCCAGTATGGGATTCTGAGATACATTACCAAGGATATTATTACAAGATAAATCATTTGCTTCATTGAACACATACAACAATGCATATTTCCACTGAGATCAGTGACGTTTGATGTGTATCACCAGTGATCAGTCAAGTAGAAACAGTCAAAATATTTTATCAGATTTTCTCAATTTTTGCATGATATTTTCATACAGGACATCTGTTGTTCAAACTCAGGGAAGACTTCATACTGATGAATAAGGTGACCAAGTTTGATAAAGTTTTGAATAGAATTAGTAAAGTTATTATGCACACAATAACAATTATTAACGATGACGACGACAACAACAACAACGACAACAACGACAACGCCGGACAAAATTTTTCCCTTAATATACCTTTCCCTTCCATCTTTGATGGTACGGGCAAGGTAAAAAGGGCGGTGGCTGCTGCAGTCAATAAGAAAAACTCAAGGACAAGGCAATGACAGAATTAGTGAAAAACAAAGGTTAAAAAAAACAATTCTGCTCGCCTAAATTTAAGGGGAAAAAATTGTATATACCGGTAGTGGGAAAAATAAAAAATTACCACAAAACTAAACGTTAAAAAATATTTTATAGTTTTTTTTTTGCAGTTTCTAATGGTCAACTTCTAAGAGAAGGTGACATTTGTCGCATGACATTGTACATACTATGGGTTCTACTTATTTCTAATAAATTCATGGAGCATTCCACATTGTACGTCTATATCCTATCAATTCATATCAAAATTATCAGCATTACAGATAACTGGATGTATACATGTCCAGCTGCTTTATCCACAAAAAGCATCCAATTTTGTTCAAGAAATAATAAAATACCATAAAATAAAAGAACAAACACATTTATTGACAACTGAATGAAAGAAGACAAAAATTAAGTAACAAAACTTCCATGATTTGAAAGTTACTGCCAAAATATAAATAGATAGCTGCTATCATTACAAAATATACTAAAGTGTCTTATCCGCAGGAGATGAACTTGATTTTTCCCATTCAGTTTGTAACTCTGAAGAGACCTCTGTAAATAATCTGTCCCAGTCCCAAGGTTTGTCCTCCTCCATTACTTCGGATTCTGCAGCTAAAACTTTGGTCAGTAACTTTAGGTCTATTTCCCCATCCTATAAAAAGAAAGAAAGAAAGTACAGCGATTTTACTTTAACTTTTTCACCATCAGTTCCTGCTTTTTATCACAAATTTTTTGAGTGAAAAATGAAAAGTGACTCAAATTTTGTCTGTTTGCTCCAAAATTAGTGTTCATTTCTAGAAATATTGAAAAATATAAGAAAAATTTGGCGAGAAAGTGTGGTAGTGAACTGTTTGCCAAAGCTAATATACAAACAGAACTTCAATTTCAAAGTAAAAATGTCTCAAACGTTCATACACTTCTGTACTTTGTTTTTAACTTTGCTTTCATTATTGTTGACAAATCACAGACTTGGTGTCATCAAAGAAAGGCAAGAATAGCCAAAATGTACATATCAGAAGATGATTTTCACACAAGAAATGAACATTTCTTAGAGGCTGATGTGAAGCATGTCTTATTTACATATACAAACAAAAATGTCAGGAATTTGGATCATGTTAATAGTGTTCTATTTCGGCAACACAAATGGTTTGTCTACAATCTTGCAAAACTTTTTATAAATTTACTTATTACTAGTAAAAGAAATAGTAAACAATTACTGAGGTGCATAAATATACAAAGTTCAGTTGTTCAGTTCAATAAATGTTTGTACACAGTTTTTGCAAGGTTGGTTACCAGTAGTCTCAAACACCTATTAGTATTATGTCATGCAGCGTAAGGCAACCTGATGAAGGCTATTAAATCCCTTATTTACTTTAATGATCATAGTGATTTATAATAGGATGGGTAAAGTTTAAAAAGACAACTTGAAACATTTAACCTGATTTAGGCATAGTAGCACACAGCGATACATGTATGACAACTTATGTGGCAAATAATTTGGGACATCACTATAATGCGTTTCTTGTGACATAAATAAGGCAGTAATCAATGCAACTTACTAATGTCAAAAGTTGTGAATGTTTTAAAAGGTCATTATCCAGTTCTCTGTATGTTGCAACTCTGTTGACTTGAACACTAGGTGGCGCTGCAATCTGTGTAGCAATATCTTCTTCTTGAAACTCTTCTAAATCCGGAATGACTGGAATGTCTATAATAAAAGGTCACCATTATGGGTAAGATTCAGTGAGTTGCAGAAGAAAAGAAAATAATAATTCACATACACGTATTGTAAAAATAAAATTCACATATTCATAACCAGGCAGATATTATGGTAGCAGGAAGAGAAATTTAAATTTTTTTTCTTGATTTTTCAAAAAATAATAAAACAATTACTTTAAACCTTGATAGGTCATCCCAGCTTTTCAAAAAAAAAAAAAAAATCTCGGAAAGATGCTGCTCAAATTAGTGTTTTTAAAGCTAACACAATAACCACATCTTTGGGACGGTTTAAATGATACATGTAACATCTTATCTGCATAGTCCATTATTGACAATTCTAATATAACAGGTGAGTGTATCTAACATCCATTGTCAGCATTAATGTCAGGGGGAATGAAATGTCCCAATCACAGTTATTTTGTAGTTTAACATCGAACAGTAGCAAATGCTGATTTACGAGAAATACTGGTACTGCAAGTTCAGATAAACAGATGAAACTTACATTCGATCAATTGCTACACACATAACTGTCCAAGATAATATATCGATAGTAACTATTCACTGAGTTTGTAACTACGTAGTAAAAAATAAAGTTTCCACAATTTGGCTTGGCTTTTACACCAATCAATATACCAAAACCAAAGTGTAATTTGTTTATAATATAGTATAAAGATCAGAGCAATATAATGGACGCAAGTTAGAGTTTTTGGATTGCATAATGATCAAAGCTAGGATGTTTTATGACTTTCTCTAAAGTTTGAAATAACAGTCTGTTTCTTCTTTGCTTTTATTATTCTAGAAAATTTAAATACTTTACATTTGGGAGGCTTTTGAGATGAAATTACAACACATTTCTCAGTGTAAGATCTGCTTAGAGGGAACACTGATGCGGGTATCTCTGAGAAATATACAAATGAACAGATCATTTTGTTCCCATTTGAAACAAACTAGGACTAATAAAAAGTGAAGCCTTGACTGATTGACTGAGTGAGTCAGATAAGAAGTCTAATTGCACCTACCATCATCTGAATCATGCCTCACAGGACTTGCTGGCCTCAACCTTTCACTGATGTGGGAGAAGATTAAGAAAACAGAAAATTAAAAACACTGTAAGCTAGGATAAAATTATCGTACATGCGATGGAAGCCAAGCTCAGACATTTTTACTTCAGTCATGTAACTCAATATTCATGCTTTATTTATTTTAGTGCTTGTTGATCCCTTTATGAGGTAGAAAAAAAAACCACCAGTGCGCTTGGCATGTTTAGGTTAGTACACCAAAGTCATGGAAAGAGTTAATAATTTAATATATATAACTACAGGTGAAATGACAGTGTGGCATGGTTTTTACCAATGAGTGTACATGAAGGCATGCACCACCACCATTGACCCCAAGGCGAGGTGCAAGAGAAGAAAACAATAATAAAATTGTAATTACTCTTCATACAACAGGTCCCCTTTCTTGCCCCTGTAATTGAGAAGAACCAGTAGAAGTCAGCAAGAGTTTGAGAGAGAGACAAAAAAAAATTATAAATGCTAGGAAGCATTAGCTCTACCAGAGCTGCCAATGACACAGTCCCTGTACACGTTTTAGTGACTGTGTCAATTATAAAAAATGAAAATGTAGTGTATAGTTAAATGTTGTTGAGTTTTCAGCTTTTAAAACACAGTGGCCACCAGTTGGCCATTTTGAACTTGATCTAAAAAATAAAATGATGTGCATCAATGTCCCATTGAGTTCAATTTATGTACCAAGTTTAAAACAAAAATCATCCACACACAACTGAGATCCGGGCCCGGAATGGTGAACACTACAATTGGATCATGAAACAAATGCATGTGTAGATGTCCGATATAATATCTGATGTATCTGGGTAAGGGAGAAGTTTGAATTTGATCAGTCCAAGCATGTTTGAGATACTGATAAATGCACACATGCACACTCACACGGAATTCAATTCACAAGTCCCTGTTTTCGGACTGCATGTGAAAGAGGACTAACAAAAATAAATACATCAAATAAAACAAAGTAGAATCCTAAGAAAGCAAGAATGGGAGAGAGTTTTCATTCTTACTGTCATTGCCATATTGTTCCGAACACCAAAACTGCAACATTGCCAGCTAAGTTGCTGACTGCATTGGTGTACACGTCTAAAGATCATTATCTTACTTGACTTCCTCGGATCAACTCATTTTTAAGAGGGGGCGCCACTCAACTCAATGTGAGAAGCGTAAGTAAGCTCAAGTTAGCACACAACTATTTCTCTCAGTGTGCTAAGTTGTTTTGTTTATTATTACAGCAAGTCTCAGAAGTATTGGAGCAGCCAATTTGCAAACTCGCTAGCGAAATTGGCTAACTGCTTGGGTTTTCACTAAACAATTGGTTTTCGAATCTCGCCGGAGCCGATTCATGGTCGCATCCACTCTTTACGAGTCTATATTGCATTAGGGGACATAGAATGTTTTTACTTAGCCTGGAATTGCTTTGTTACGCGAGGCATTATAATGTGTGAGTAGTTTAAATATTATACTAGAACGGTATATCTCCCTTGGAAGATGAAGTGGCTCTGAGAAGGGCCACTTTGTTTATGTTTTCTTAGTATATAGCGGACTATATTTAAAAATCCGCAATGTCGAAAGTTCTGGCGTGATCATGTCCAGGGTACCAGAAAAGCGAGTTCAGTGAACCGATTAGCAAATACGTCATTTCTTTGCAATTCTCGTTTTAGATGCCGAAAACAAAGCTTGCAGGTATTAAATTGTGGGCTATATGGAGGCTGAAACAAAAGGGTGACTTGTCTGGTATCTCGTGGAGAACGGGTTTGGTGAAACCACAATTGTCCATCACAACAGTGTCGTCTTCTCCAATAAACTGCTGACCATCTACTACTTCTTCATTCAGTGCTAACAGCTCCATCCCATTTGAAGGACCGCGGAGAATATTGAAATGGCTCACACCAAGCGGGCTATGCAGTAAATTCATGGTGAAATTTATGTTGGATGTGTATCTTTGCACTTCCACTGCCGGCTGACCGACTGGAACAAGTCCATAGACACGATTGCCCACCGTATCAAAAAAATGTACATGGAGATGGTCAAGTTGAGAAATCATGTCAATATAATTCATGATTCTGTCCATGTTATGTTTCGTCAGCTGTTTGGAATAGACGTAATTTTTTTATATGAGTAGTCTAAATCTCGCTTGAATGTGTGGTATATGGCTCTTGTGGATGGCAGTATGTTGGGCGTACAAACACCCTCATCCAACAGCTTTCCTTTCACTTCGCTAGCTGACATAGAATATTTAAATACATTGAAATTGGGGGTGTAATCCTTGAATCGATTTACAAAACACTTGACTTGTGTGTGTTCCTCGTAATCAGTGCGACGTCTCCTTTTGGTGTTAGTTTGATCTAAGGGGGTCAAGTAAGATAACGATCTTCAGACGCGCACACCAAAGCAGTCAGCAACTTAGTTGGCAATGCTGTTTTGGTGTTCGGAACAATATGGCGATGACAGTATTTCCAAAGAGCGCACATTGCATAACCAGAGTATGTGCTGAATTAATGGGTATTGTATCAATTTCACAATCAATGTCAAATCTTGTCATGAATATTTGAAACATCTTTCCATATTTAGAATAAAACAATAATTGTTTTGTTTAACAAAAAGTCCCTAGATAATTATATGTAAGGTGTTTGCAAAGCCAAGGTAGAATTACTATTTGTGAGAATAATACTATAAACTCTTACATGTTGGCTGATGCAATGGTCACAATTTGACCAAAGTTACTGCCATCTCCTGCTAATATACCAGCTAAAGTTTCTCTATTATAAAATTTCATAATTCTCATAGATTAATTGAATGCATGAACATTTTTTAAAAATAAAGTGATTAGGTAAGGTCATTTGCAAAAGTTCACTTTATTAAATACAAGCAGAAAACTTACTGTGTTATATTATTATTGTTTTACACATGTCTATTTTTTTAATTTTGAATTCATGTAAAAGCATTATTTCTTTAAAAAATTAGTATTCAGCATAATTTTCTAATAATTTGTGGCAACCAAGAGTACCCAGCTTATTTCAACAATTGCTTTTTTTACCACCGGTATATGTAACTTATGAAACTTTGAGATATAATTAGATCCTTTCACCATAGAAACCAGCAGTAAATGGCTCCAAAATGTTTATGCATGCTTGACTTGAGTTCATCAACCATACTTTTTTATTTAACTTAGAATAAAATAAATCCATATGGTAAAAGTCATCATTGGATAAGATGAGAGGTTATATCGCATATACATGTACCGTAATAAACATTTTTACCAAAAACAGGAATATTCCCAATTGCAGGATGATAATCTGATTATTGAAACAACTTGATAGGATATGTTTTCCTGTTTTATTATAAGTAAAATTGCTACCAGTACTATCTAATAAATCCTTCATAGCAGTAACATTCCATACCCTTTCTTTGCTGACTTAGGAGTGTCATCTGCCCACCCTCCTTGTCTTCGGGATGGCTTTGGTGGTCCTCCAGTAGACTGTAAACAAAGACAAGACATAATTAGAACAAATAACTCAACATTATCTAATGTGATTCTGTGCAAGACCTAAAAAAGTGACACCAAGGTGAATGGAATGTAGATTTTAGAGATTATTCAGAATTTGCTGCTAAAGGCTGAAATGCACATGTGATCAAAATAAATCTGAATCTGAATGCCACATGAAAAGCACCATAGGATGCATCTGAATTTCATGTAAACACTGTATTTATTCTATGTCCATATTGCAACGTTAAACAACTGTAACGCATTAACTATTTATATATATACAAATTTGATGGCAACAGTTCTCAGATTAATTGGATCAAGAGATCTAACAATATCAAAGTGTAATAGAAAATATATAGTGAGTGCAAGGAAATATAATCAGATAAATAGAAAGGAGGCATGAAACATATATACATTGTAGTTGCAATTTTACCACCTTGGATTGAAAATTATCAAACCAAAAATCAATTTGAACAATGAAAATAATGACATAGTTCAAAAGAAGAATCTATCCGTGGTGATTTGAAAGTTTAATCAAAGACAATAGAAAAGATCTCTTTCTAATGTCTTTGGTTTAATAGGCAGAAGTAAGAGTGCTAGAGTTACAGATGAAAGCAGCTTACTGATACATGCAGTGCATCGTCAATATTGGCAGTGTGTGATGGTAATGAAATACAAGGGATTATATACTGTAAGACTTACACACAACATGAGTGGCTGTTAGTTTATGAAATGATCTAACTCACATTGTTAGTAGAGGCTGCCTTCAATGACTCACTTACTGCTAAATCATCGCCATCGGCCGCTATGTCACCATTAGGAGTATCTGCTTGGGGTATCTGACGAGCTCGCCGTCCCAACTTTGCCTCAGGCTATTTATATTCGGTGATGTAAATATGAAGATGATTAGCATTGATGAAAGACCGACATAAATGTGTTATACATACATGGCAACATACCCAAATGCAACAGGCATAGCGATCGATTTCAGGTGTCTTCCAGCTATATAGCAATGAATATGCGAAGCTGACATCTATGTTAACAATTAATTTGCATGCACAATTGTCAAACAAACAAAACAGGCTTGGTTAGGCCTCAGATCAGTTTTTACTTGCTTATTACCAAACGCTTCAGCGTGGTATTAAAAGTTTGTTTTCAGGGGTGGGTGATACCAAGGTGGGAAATGGATGCACATATGGGGTTAATTCCTTGAATTGCAATATAAAGGGTTCAGGCTGAAATACAATATATAGTGTTTTCATGTTTCGTCTGACATTTCTGTGGTATTCTGCTGCTGTAAGTAATGCACGATTTGTTCCGAAATTCAGTATATTGTGTGTATTCCAGGGTTATTCATTTTTGCGAAAACACCCCTATTTTTTAGTGGCAGAGTCAATAG